AACACCTAAATCGTTTTGAAAAGAAAGAAAATAAGTTGACTGTTGGTCAACCGTCTAAAGAACCGAATGTAAAGTTGAATTGATTTTTATTAAAAGGATAAACATATGCACGATCTTAATTGTTGAATTATTATGTTTATTCTTGTGCTACAATGGAGTACCACTCAGCGTCAATGCTGAGCGGATAGCGTTGTTTTCCTTTTTGCTATCCGTAGGTGATCAGACAGATGAACCTAGAGCCGATCCCAGAAGGCATTGAGGAGGAGATGTATGATGGCGTGGCTGTCTCTTTAATCTGCTGATATGCTTTATTTAATTAACTTTAATGCTTATTACGTTTTCGGGCAAGATCCCAAGTTGTTTGACTTTAAAAAGGCTTCCGCATTATTTTAAATTACTCCGATGAATTTTTATATGTATTGATAGAACGTTTGTTTAAAATTGTTTTGAAAATGTCGCAAATTCGGATACCAATTCAGTGACACACCGGTCCGCTGTCTCACGGGTTTGGGTCATGCGGGTTGGGGTGTTACACAATATATGGACACAAAGCTATTTTCCAAGATGAACAAGTATGCATATACAATTTCAAAACGTGTATTTTGTGCTTCTCAAATTTGTTGTGCAGTTTGTAATATTGTTATAATCTGAAGGGAAATTGTATACATGCATCTTGTGAGAAGCCATTAATGGGACACTACAAGCCTTTATTAAAAGAGGGACAAGTGCATGGAATACAAAATCGCATTGTCTCAAGGAATACACAAAATGTGACGGACCATCCATACAAACTATCATTTGTTAAAGCCACACTTATAACAGATGTCAATGATGAAGAATTCCCAGAAACAGTGTTCAGATTTCAAAATTTCAAAGCCCTGAATGACGCCATGGATATTCAGTATCGACCCATGTTTGGTAACACAACAATTAACTTAAGAAATAATATTGTCATAAGTAGAAATAAATATTATTATTGACAATAGTGCCTTGACTGTCCTTTAGATGTTATTGGCTTATTGAATGTTGATCAACCACCCACTCAAAGAATTGGAAAAAGTGGAGTCCAAGTTAGAGTGATGGATATTTGCCTTAAAGATTTAGATTACATATTAAACTGTTTTTTTTCACTTTTTCTTACATATTATTTTATATGCATTACGTGAAAACTGACCTCTACATGTAGTGGTGAAAGAATTTCTTGCACATTATGGAGCTTGTATGTTGATCAAGTCTTAGATTTTCTCCAGCAAGAACCACTGCATCCGGTTGTTGCTATTATGCAGTTCTGTAAAGGAACTGTTTTTAAAAGTATTACAAAAATAAACACATTTAAAATATAAGACATTCATACTAACAAGTACATTCAATAATGGAGTATGCAGATATGAACAAGGCATCAACCTATTTTGATGCCACGAAACTGATTTTGGATCAGGAACTTCCAGCTATTTTGGAGTTCAAAAAACAGTAAGAATAATTTGCTACACCTTTTTGCACTATGTCCTTCACCACGGTTTGATAAATGAATGTTATGGATCCTCAATTTGTTACAGACTGAAGGCCAAAGGAATTACTATTTACTACCCAGAATGTACTAACCTTCAGTGGATCTACATCCAAATCAGAATCTCAAAGTATTGAGAAAAAGACAATTGAAGAGATCACTGAGAACTTTGAGGTGCCTATGTCTACATTATCCTTTAATATTATAATCTAAGTTTTCAGCTTGTCTAAAAGTCATTTACATATTATGTAGAGTCAGTAGTTTAAATCTAAAACACATAAGCAACAATGTCTTCTTCCTTAATATATTCATTCTGTACTTCATTTTGATATTTCACTGCATGGGATCTTTGCAAAATAATTGATTTTGAACACCATGGAACTTGGTGTTACACATCATGTACAAATTGTTCGAGGAAGCTAAACCCTGCAAATGGTAATTATACATGGTGCCTTGCAACCCTGACAGGTTTTGTTTTAAGGTACATGTCATATTCTTTAATCTTATGCAATTAGACCCATTTAAAAAGTATAAAACAAATATCCATTTTGTCAAAAAAAAAAAAACAGGTTCCGTATCAAAGTTCGTGTGGACCTGGCATTGATGTTATGGGACAAGCATTGTATACCTCTATTTGGAAAGCAAGCTGAAGAATTATTGAAGGAAAATGTAAGCCTTTAAAAATAACAGCCAAAGAAATTGAATGTGATGATTGCTTTTATTTATGAATAATGAATTTCAAATTTTTTTATAGGGTGATGATTCTGAAATTTCTAATGTGTGTAAGACCATCATTGATCAGCCACTCCTATTAGAGTTGGAAGTCAAAGATTCAGAATCCAGTTTTTATGATAAAAACTATAGTGTTCAGCAGCTTATTAATGACAGAAAGATTCTGGGACAAAATATGGTTCATAACTCTAACTCACAGGTATAAGTATTATTATTTATTTGTTGTATGAAGTTTGGAACTTCAAAAAATATTTAATGTAGGATTCTGTTAAGAGTAAAGCAAAGAAAGGCATCTCATAGCCAAATGACTTAAATGCATGTGAGGATTCAACCAATAATGATGCTCTTAAGAACCAGTTTACTGATGAAATCTCCACTTCACCCACGGTTAATATGAAGCGAGAACTTTCCCAGGAATTTGAAGACATGCAGACTCACTTGTGCAAAAAACTAAAAGTGAGTGTGAAGATTGAAAAAGACCAAGTCAAGCTAACAGAATGGGCCAAATTAAGACTTTGTTTATTTAAAATTGTCCAAGCATAAAAAACCAGTAGTTTACAGTAGTTTGTTATTTCATCTTTTAAACCTACTTTGTTGTCACTTAAATATAAATTCCAGTTTGTTGTTCACTTTCATGTACTGCTTGGTATGTTTCTCCTTATTCATGAGAAAATAATGTTGCATGCAATGAAGACATATTCAACTGAGAAGTTGTCGCTTCTCTTATCTAAATCATGTAGTAAGATTAAAATATTACATGCTTTAAAATATATCCTCTGCTGGAAACAAATAAACAGAATAACTTTTTGAAACATTTTCCCCATCAAGTATGCCATGTTTCCAAAATAACCTAGAGTCAAGGAAATTGATACTCTCTATTGGTAAATTTATTTTTTATGCAGACTATCATTGATTTAAAGTCTGGCAAAAAAATGTCAACAAAACAGACTTCAATGTTCAAACTCCATACTCAAATGAAAAAGGTATGTGTTCTTATCTGTGATTTTTTCCCACACAGAATACGCGAACTGTGAATGAAAAACACTTGATTGTTGAAAACCTGATCCATCAACAATTTTTTCCTATATTCCTAACTCTTACTTACCTTTGCTGCCATTTACTATCAATATTCCCCTTTTGAAGAAAGTCCATAAACACCTTAAAGAAAAAAATAATACAGTCATCTTCATAAGAATTTTAAAATGTTTGTCTACTTTTCAAAGGTGGTTAAAGTTGTAGTCAAGTACTACGTACTAATCAATTTTAAGCCTCTCAAATTCATATATGAAATGAGGAACTGATTGTGCAAATATGTTGTGTTTTATCCTCTTAATCCATTACATTTAGATATCTAAATACATCGCTTTCTACAGTTTTGGATACAAAAGTAAACATTTTTGAACTGTAAAGTTTACAGTTTGGAAAAAAAGAACTTATTTGTACACAATAATGACACTTGACCTCACCTGTGGTAAGCTATAAAGATTCCTTTCCTGCCTCAATGCAACTTGATACTCAACTCATCAAAAAAAAAAAATTGCACCTTTACTTTGTCACTTTTGGATATTTAGATATTGCATGCATCAAGGAATGAACATCAATTCAAAGTTTCAATTAAAACATCATAAACAAATATTAAAGCAACACTAATTTTTTAAAAAAACGCCCTCATCCTTCCAAATTACCTTTATATGCATATAAAACTAAATCTGATCTCATATTTTAGATTGAAAATTAAAGATGCGAAAAGAGAATTTCTTAATATTCGATTAGCTGTTCTTACCTTTGAACTATCACTCTACATCCACCTCGGATTTCTATAAAATCTTGCGATTTTCCTTTCTCCAATTGATCTGGCCTTTAATTTTCCGAATACGTTGTACGTGTACTGTCACTCGCCGGAAAAATTTGTTATATATAAGCTCCGGGTTTGTCTGTATTAAGCTAGAACTTGAGGACAAGGCTCTTTAATTTGCAGTATTGGAGGATAATCGATTGTACAGGTTAGATAATCGATTGTCAAGGGGGGTTCGGTTTCTCCTGAGAAATTCGCAGAATTTTAAGGGAGTGCTGATAGTCGATTATCAGACTATAATAATCGATTTCTGAGGGCTGCGGGTGTTTCAAAAGAGGACTGATAATCGATTGCCAAAGGTGACAGTCGATTGTAGAAGGTTGCAGGTGTTTCAATGGTGAATGATAATCGATTGTCACCGAGGTTAATCCATTATTTGGCAGAATTCTGGGCAGGAAGAAGGGTGTTTTTGTGGGGGAATGGATTGGAAATATATGGAGATGATGAAGGGGTTCTTTTGGTATTTTTAATGTAAGGAAAGAAAGGAGATTAAGCATAGAAATGGTGGGAAAAGAAATGGATAGAAAATAATGATGGATAAACCAAGTTGGTGTTAAGAGATATTACACACTCTTATCCTAACTTGGGGTTTGAATCTAGAATTTAATTAAGATATGACACACTTAATCAAATATCTAGAACCTAAAACTCACACTTAAGATAACCACTCTTAAGATATAGAATTAGAAATTTGGCTAAAATAGCATCACACTATTTTAATAATACTCAAATAGTAAAAGATTTTAATATTCAAAAGGTGGTGTTACAATGGCCATAAGGCCTGAGTTATATAGGCATGGGAAGGGGGAGATAATTCACAATACATTGAATGTAAACTTAGGGAAGCTTCCTTGCAACAATCTCTTCCAAGGCATGGGGTATTGGCCACTCATACCTGTCTCCTTAGTAAAATAAAATCAGGGATGGGGCTGGGGGTGGTGGGATTTTGGGTTTTAGGTTTGTAGTTGTTGTTTTCCTGGGTTTTGTGGGTATTATTTGGGTAAGAATGGAGGGTTGTTTTTGGTCATTAAAAGGGGACAGGGCTGGGTATTATTTATGGGTATTTTGGAGTTATGGCTTTGGGTTATTGTGAGGGAAAACATGGGCAGGAAGTAGGGGCTGGAGGTGGGTCATGGTTTTGGCTCTTTGTGGGTGTTGTGTTGGGATTGTGAGGTTTATTTGGGCAGGGAATGAAAGGAAGGAAGAGAGGGTTTTACTGGATTATTAAAAGGCTTAAAAGTAGGAAAATAACAACAAACAAAAGGGTTTTGGTTTACACACTCTTATTTTCGGCCATGGCTAAAATAAGAGTAGCAAAAACTTTATTTTGAAAAGGAAATATTTTGGATGTTTAGGGAAGGTATGGGGAGTGTGGGCTCGGCCTAGGGTGGGTGTAGGACAACCATGGTGTTGGGTTGGGCTCTATGACAGGAAAATGGAGAAGTTTCAACCCAATTAATGTCATCACACTTGGGCTTTATTCCCCTGATCCGTCTTTCCCTTAGCGGGCTACGGAGAGTCTTCGGCCATGCTCCCGGATATATATCATCCTCCCCTTCTTCGAAAGAGTTTGCCCTCAAACTCGCCTTTTCTTCACGCTCATCTTCGGGATTTGGATATGGTAATCTATCTTTATCTCTAGAACAACTTGAGGATGTGTTCTCTCTCACACCTGTGCCTTTATGAATGACCTGCAAATTAAACAAAAAAGTGTTGGCATTAAAAGCCGTTAGTGTCAGTTTGCCCCCGAGGCTTTCCTTTTCAAAGAAGTGGTCGGTAGGGGGTCTTTAAAAAGGCCCAACAGCTGGTTTTGCTCAAGCAAAGGATCATATGGTGACTCTTTAGATTCGTGGTAGGCAAACATGGCAAGTACGGATGGGGGCGGTGTTTCGGGCAGCTTGTTGGATGGTATTATTGGGGAAAGAGTGATTCTCCGAGTATTCAAAAAGAATGAATACGAGTTGGTAAAGCCATCATAGGAAACTCTCCAATCATATAACCATGGTCTCCCGAGTAGGAGATGACAAGCTTTCATGGGAATCACATCGCACCAAACCGTATCGTGGTAAGATGGTCCTACACGAAATGAAACCAAACTTCGTGTCTTCACACGTGCTCCTTCATCTAGATTCAACCAATGAATCTCATATGGATCGGGATGCGGAAACATCTCTAGATGGAGTCTTTCCACCGTTGTTTTTGAGACGAGGTTGGCACTACTCCCGTTATCAATGATCATCGAACAAATCTTTTCGTTTATGGTGCAAGGATTACGAAAAATACTCTCCCTGGGTGAGTGATCATTTCGGGAAGCCTCTCGGTTCATGGTCTTTTGAACGACCAATAGCTCTCCTTCGTCCGGGCCAATTATCTCTTCTTCTTCTTCTCTTTCTTCATTAACCCAAGACGGGTTAATCTCTTCGTCATCCATCTCGATGATAGCCATGAGCTTTTTATTGGGACACTCACTAGCGTAGTGACCGATCCCTTGGCAACAAAAACATTTTTGAATTCGGCTATTTGACGAACTTGGTTTTGAAGGGGTGGACGGGTTTGGCGGGGGAGTGGGGTGAACGGGCCTGGAGTTTTGGAATGAAGTGGGCGTGGGATTTTGGGCATCTTGTGGGGTGGCGTGTGGACTGTTTGGAGAGGAGTTGTTTGGGTGTTGATACGGGGTAGATGTTCGGTTCAAATGGGCCTTGCCTTTCTTGAGTTGGGCTTCCACTTTCAACGCTAACTTAGTTAGCTCTTCAAGACTTTCGAACATTTGCAGCTCCACGGTGTTGGCTATTTGGGTGTTTAGGCCAAATAGGTACCTCACAAACATTTGTGAATCGTTCTCTTGAAGGTCACACCTCATCAAGAGTTCCTCGAACTCTTGGTTGTACTCCTCTACGGACCGGTTGCCTTGCCTCAAGTGTTGAAGCCTAGCAAACTTCTCCCTCACATAGTGAGTGGGGATAAACTTCTTCTTCAAAAGGGCCATCATCTTTGTCAACGTTCTCACGACGGCTTTTCCTTCTCTTCCGCGTTTGGTGGTAGTGTTAGCCCACCACGTGGAAGCATAGCCTCTAAACTTCAAGGATATCAACTTGACCTTCTTGTCTTCAGAAACTTCGGCATAGTCAAAGGCGTGTTCAACCGTCTCTAACCATTCGATGAAATCATCGGGGTCGTCCTTGCCATCAAAGGTTGGGATTTCAACCTTGAAATCAGAGGAAGACTTCTCTTGGTTGTTTCTCCTTATGGTGGGAGAAGGAACTCCTGATTGGACGTCTTCTTCTTGCTCATCTTCGCTTTCCTCTGGAGTTTGGACCATGCTCACTTTCAACTTGGTGAGTTGAGCCAGTTGTTTGGCTAAATACTCAACTTGAGCTTTGAGTTCGGCATTGGATGCAACCAAATATTCCCTAGTAATGTTTTGGGAGGTGTGAGACATGTTTTGAACTAGGAAGTGAATAATGAAGGTAGGTCAGTAGCTAAGATGAAGGAAATGGGGGGGGGGGGGGNNGGGGGGGGGAGAATGTTTTGGCCTGAAATGAGGATGAAGGAAAGGAGAAAGAGTGGAAGTGTGTTCCTGGCCCTTTGGGATGTAGGAACAAGAAGCTCTGATACCAGATGTTATATCTACGCTCGGGGTTTGTCGGTATTAAGCTCAAACTTGAGGACAAGGCTCTTTAATTTGCAGGATTGGAGGATAATCGATTGTCCAGGTTAGATAATCGATTGTCAAGGGGTTCGGTTTCTCCTGAGAAATTCGCAGAATTTTAAGGGAGTGCTGATAGTCGATTATCAGACTATAATAATCAATTTCTGAGGGCTGCGGGTGTTTCAAAAGAGGACTGATAATCGATTGTCAAAGGTGACAGTCGATTGTTGAAGGTTGCAGGTGTTTCAATGGTGAATGATAATCGATTGTCGCTAAGGTTAATCGATTATTTGGCAGAATTCTGGGCAGGAAGAAGGGTGTTTTTGTGGGGGAAACTCTTATCCTAACTTGGGGTTTGAACCTAGAATTTAATTAAGATATGACACACTCAATCAAATATCTAGAACCTAAAACTCACACTTAAGATAACCACTCTTAAGATATAGAATTAGGAATTTGGCTAAAATAGCATCACACTATTTTAATAATACTCAAAGAGTAAAAGATTCTAATATTCAAAAGGTGGTGTTACAATGGCCATAAGGCCTGAGTTATATAGGCAGGAGAAGGGGGAGATAATTAACAATACATTGAATGTAAACTTAGGGAAGCTTCCTTGCAACAATCTCTTCCAAGGCATGGGGTATTGGCCACTCATACCTGTCTCCTTAGTCGAATAAAATCAGGGATGAGGCTGGGGGTTGTGGGGTTTTGGGTTTTAGGTTTGTAGTGGTTGTTTTTTTGGGTTTTGTGGGTATTATTTGGGTAAGAATGGAGGGTTGTTTTTGGTCATTAAAAGGGGACAGGGCTGGGTATTGTTTATGGGTATTTTGGAGTTATGGCTTTGGGTTATTGTGAGGGAAAACATGGGCAGGAAGTAGGGGCTGGAGGTGGGTCATGGTTTTGGCTCTTTGTGGGTGTTGTGTTGGGATTGTGAGGTTTATTTGTGCAGGGAATGAAAGGAAGGAAGAGAGGGTTTTACTGGTTTATTAAAAGGCTTAAAAGAAGGAAAATAAAAACAAACATAAAGGTTTTGGTTTACACACTCTTATATTCGGCCATGGCTAAAATAAGAGTAGGAAAAACTTTATTTTGAAAAGGAAATATTTTGGATGTTTAGGGAAGGTATGGGGAGTGTGGGCTCAGCCTAGGGTGGGTATAGGACAACCATGGTGTTGGGTTGGGTTCTAAGACAGGAAAATAGAGAAGTTTCAACCCAATTAATGTCATCACACTTGGGCTTTATTCCCTTGATCCGTCTTTCCCTTGGCGGGCTACGAGTCTTCGGGCATGCTCCCGGATATATATCAAAATTCATCGTTGATTCTTCATCTTTACATTTCTTTACATTTCAATTCATGTATTTCAATTTCCAAATTTGAAATCTTGAATTTCAAATTACAAGGGAGGCGCATGGATTTAAAATTAAACTTTGTTATGAATGGGAGGAATTTGATTCAATTCCAAATTCAAATTTTGTAAGTTTCCCAAACATGAAATTCGAGCCAAATCCAGATTTAAAATCTATATTCATGTTCCCAAACATACCATTAAATAATTCGAATAGTGAAATTTAGAATTTACATTACATTATAGTTATATAGTGTATGAAATATTTTATAAAGGAAATTGTATACTACGTATATAACATAAATAGAACATTTTAGTTGTTTATGTGGACGGATTTAACATTTTAGTACCTCATTTCAACTCCATTTCTAATGTTTAAAATTTTTAAAAAGAGAATTAAGGGTTTTCTTGAATTAAAATCTTTTTTTATAAAGGCACAACTTTGAGTTCTTTTAGAAAATAAATGATATTTTATATTTAATATGTTACATATTTGAATGTATACATTTTTTATGTTGGATCCGTCATTAAAAATGCAACTCACTTATTCTAAAATCAAAATAAACTACTCCCTCAGTCCCTAAATAAAATTTCATTTTTGACTTTTAGAAGATTTAAGGGAGGGATATTTTTGTGTTGACTTTTCAAAAATACCCTTGATGTGATGTGTAAAAGTGAGATGTGATAGGTAGATTATTAGTAAAAGGTTATGATGTGATAGGTAGGGTAAGAAAAAGTAAGGGGTAAAAGGGGTTTTTTAAGGAAAAAGAGAATTTATTTGGGGACAAAGAAAAAATGAAAGAGGAAGTTTATTTATGGACGGAGGGGGAGAGACGGTTTATTTTATGCAGTAATGTTTTGGACAAAGAAAAAATGAAAGTAGTAATGGAAAATCCAAAACATTGCTGCATAAAAGTAAGTTTTGTAACAAGGCTTGGGAATCGTGTCTTAGAAGCCAAACAAATTGCTGGAAGGAATGTTGGAGAAAAGATATTGATTCCTAGAATCTCATTGACACCTTCAGATACAAGGTTGCTTTTTGAATTTCAAAGAAAACAATTCCCAATCATGGTCTCCTACGCAATGACAATAAATAAAAGTCAAGGGCAATCAGTTTCAACGGTTGGAATTCTTTTTATAAAAAAAATAGTCTTTTCTCACGGACAGATGTACGTTGCAATGTCAAGAGTTAGAAGTCGTTCAGAGCTGAGGATTTTGGTATGTAATGATCAAGATAAACCGGATTGCAAGACTACAAATGTTGTGTATAAAGAAGTTTTCACGAATAAAGAAATCACCCTACGTAGCACTCTAACTCATATAATACCACGCATTTAGCACTGCTTATTCTTTATTTACCAAATTAGCTATTTATGTTGTCAATCTCTTCCAATCATACCCTTTATGTTATCAATCACTTTTATCCATCCCACTATCAATTATTTCAATTTCCCTTTCAACTCCTATATCAAATTCGGTCTCACATAATGTATACTTTGTGCATAGTGGCATAATACTCTTTTTTATCAAATTCTTTCGTCAATCAATTAAATGTAGTTTTGAATAAATATATATAATAAAAATATGATATATCAAAATTATATCATAAAAATATGCCAATTATAAATACTTCTTTTATCCCAAAATAGGGCTCTTATTCGATTTACGATGTTTGATTGAAATTATTTTCAAATCAATATAAGTAAAAATTATTGTATAATTAAAAAATAGGAATTATATATTCAAAAAACTACATAAAAATTTTTATAAACAAGTGGTGACAATGTGACTTACATATAAAACTACCAATTTATAAATTATTATTTGATTTTCATATTGTGCAAATAGCTTGTGGTTGATTTTATGACAATAGAGTTTTACCATGAAAGAGATTGTTATGAAATGTGTTACTCAATATGGTGACTATAAATATACGGGTAGTACAGA